AGGAAAAGATACTCATTATGCCATCATCTTTTAGAGAAAGCAAACACAGTAGCAGACAAGTAAGTCTTTATGTAAAATGTGTATTGTAGTCTTCTGAATCACGACGTCGTGTTATCTTAAACGTGATTATCAACATCTCGGTGGACACTACCGCCTTCATCTCCAAGCTAAAATATTTACCGAGACATAGAATGTTTCTATAAAAGAAGAAATGGATTTTTTTGTTATTTTATAACTCTAATTAACGCGTTGGAATGGACTCCATCTTTACTGTCTGTTACTTTCTCTCACGAGTGTCTTTAAGTCAAAAACTCACGCTTTCCTCTTAAATTCATTTTAATATTACCCTCCATCTATACTCCTCACAAATAACCTTTTCTTTCAGGTTTCCAATTAAAATTTCGTATGCATTTCTCATCTTACATATGCCAGTTACTTTATGAAGATTTCTATCCAAAAAAATGCATTTAACCGAAAATAACAAAATTGTTTAAGGAAATGAAATGTTGTCCCCTCGAAGTGCTTCCATGGTCTGCAGAGGGACCCCTTTTGTCCTCATTACAGAAATAACTATTCTCTATGTATAAACTTGAATCTCCCTTTAATTTTAATATAATTAGAGCAACGTTGATTGATTCTTTGATTATTTAAATACACTATTTCAACTACAGAGTTTGTTAGCATCGAATAATATGGGTAGTACCTGATATGGTTATTGAGTTTATCAGTTAATATAAAGACAATTTATTAAAAAAGAAATTGCACTCTGTTATTAACAACACGCATCATTATACTGACGCACGAGTTTTTAATTAAATTCAATTAATTTATTTAAGTGCCTAACAACAGCCAAGCACTAAACCAAAATACAGGATAAAATATAATAAGTAATTAATTTATTTCAATAATAATAAAAGTAAAACAAACCAATGAAACTAAATATAAAATGTACCATATTAATAATAATAATAATTAGATTAATTTATTGAATCATATTTCACAAATAAATGGGCTAAATACGATATCTAAGTAATATAATTCAATTTAATAATTATAAATAAAATAAATAATACTAAATAATAATTCGATTCATTTCAATTCAATTCAATCTGTCACCAGATAAAACCACTTTCTCTACGGCGCCTTGAAGACCACCTCCCGTATTGCACCTCATTATTTATATTAAGCATTACACCTTTTATATTTTCGACAAAAGACAGTGACTTCTTTTCACGTTCTCAATAGTGATTAATGTAGAAAATTTCTTACCTCATAAAGAAACAGGCCACTCTTTCTCGCCATCTTTATAATTTATAATTTATATGTGTATCTTGTTTATAATTTTATCCTTCCTTACTGTGTGTGTCATAACTTTTGATTACAGGTTTAATGAAGAAATACATAAGAACTTCTTATCGGAATGGTGTATTTAAAAATGCTAAAAATCTCTAAAATTTGTGACGATGGACATTGTTAATTACTTTATGTGCAACTGATATATACGTCGTTTCGAGAGCTCACTTTATTCCCATATTCAGTTGAGTAGCTTCCATTATACTGACAGATTTCTCACAATTTTTCAATTATTCTTACTGTCAATTGGGATCGAACCCGGGACATTTTTAATATTATTATACTACGTTATATGATCTAGTAAGCTTACTAGCCTGCTATTCAAAAGATTCTGGGTTCGATCTTGGCCGCTATGAATAAGAATAATTTAAAAAGTGGTAAGTTCATTAGTATAATGACAAATCACCTATGGAAACTAGGCACAGACATTTTTGAATTAATTACTGTCATTTATTTTCTCAGGGAAGAGAGCGCGGATTCTGGTTGTCAGTGCGTGGCTCCTGAGCTTCTGTTTCTCCGTTCCTATTGTGGTCTTCTACGAGGAGAAGGAAGTTCAAGGTATTTTATACACACGGTCTTCCTTTACTAGATGCATTTGCGTGGAGTTAATTATATTAATTATACTAAGACAACACGCCACGGTGGTCTAGCGTTTAGAACGCTGGCCTTGTAATCCTGGGGTCTCGGGTTCGATTCCCGGCGGTGCCCGAATTTATAACTTGTGTTGGGCAAGGCCGTGGTCTAGGCAACACGGAGTTTTCCTCCATGGCATCCCAACAATTACTCCATTCACACACACAGAAGAAGGCAATGGCAAACCACTCCTGGATCATCTGCCAAGAACGTATATGAACAGGTCCCAGGCCGAGAAAAGGAGGGAAGGATCCTGTTCATAATGTCGCCAACCTCCTGTAAAGGAGACGGCGTAATAAAGA